TTTGAAACCTGTACAACTGTTTTTCTCCTCGGTATTTGGAGAATAAGAGCACCATTAACGGAAGTGTTTAGAAGGAGTGTTTAGATTTTTTTTAAATTAAAAAAAAAGAAAAATCATAATTTTCTTAAGAAACAACACTTAATTAAGACACAGAAGCAACGGATGCTTGTTCTTCTCTCTCTTTCTGGAAAAACAAATCCGACCAAATTTCAGTCATGGGGACACAAATCGATTTCACCCACACATACCTTTCCTCTCTTTCGATACTGAATCAATCAATAGTGACCTCGTCCCATCGTCTCACTTCACTTCTCCTCTCGTCGTTCATCGGTAGAGAGCTATTCAGCTTCTCAGTTTCAGTTAGATTTGATAGCTTTACCTGTGATTTCGCTAGAATATGAGTTGATTTGTGTCGATTTAGGGTTTACTATAAGTTCTGTGATGTGTGTATTTGAGGAAGATGCGTCATCGTATGAACACGGCTTGGTTATATTGTATTCGATGTTTTTTAAGTCGGTGACCTAATTGTTGCAGGTGAAATAAACTGTATTCCCTTGCCTTCTCATTGATCTCTTTACAACGTATAAATACACAGAGTTTGGTAAACTTGTTACGCTTTACATGGGATTTTTATCTAAGGAGATATCTAGTCCTAGAATATAGGATAGTATTTGGCATATTCTAATACCCTCCCTCAGTCTAATCGTTGGGTGCTCGGACGGAGAGACTGTGCTTGAATTCATTGAATAGGGAAGAAGGTAAGCCTTTGGTGAATATGTCGGCATACTGAGCTGATGAAGGAACATGTAGAACACGAACCTGTCCCATGGCCACTTTTTCCCTGACAAAGTGAATGTCAATTTCCACGTGTTTGGTTCGTTGATGCTTGACAGGATTGTTGGACAAGTAAACGGCACTAACATTGTCACAGTACACCCGGGTGGCTGAGGTTATTGGAACTTTGAGCTCGAGCATGAGATTACGTATCCAACATGTTTCTGCAACGACGTTGGCAATGCCTTTGTACTCAGCCTCTGAGCTCGATCTTGATACAGTGTCTTGTCGCTTGGAGGACCATGAGACGACTAATTTATCTCCTAGATAAATGCAGTATCCAGACGTTGATCGTCTAGTGTCAGGACAACCTGCCCAATCGGCATCTGTGTAGGCAGTGAGGGACATTGAGGAAGTCTTGTGTAGTTGCAAACTATGAGAGAGAGTGCCTTGGAGGTAGCGTAGCACCCGTTTCATGGCAAGAAGATGAGGCAGTCTTGGATCATGCATGTACAAGCATAACTGATGAACAGCATATTGTATATCAGGGCGCGTCAGTGTGAGGTATTGGAGAGCACCTGCAATGCTTCGATATAAAGTAGGATCCTTTATTTTGTCACCTTCTTTACCTGATAATTTTGATTTCAGCTCCACCGGCGTTGAGATAGGTTTGCAATCCTGCATGCTTGCACGAACAAGAATATCTTTAGCATAAGCAGATTGGCTTAAGAAAAGACCACCATTTTTGTAATCAACTTTGATGCCAAGAAAGTAAGTTAAACGACCATCATCAGACATCTCAAACTCTTGTTTTAGGAGAGATGACAATGTCTGTCTCAGCTTTGGAGAGGATGCGGTGAGGAGTATGTCGTCAACGTAAAGGAGGAGATATGCGCGTTCTCTGCCTTTATCGAACACATAGAGTGAATTGTCGCTGCTACTTTTAATGAAACCCAGTTTTTGAACGAAGCCAGAGAAACGTGCATTCCAAGCTCGCGGTGCTTGCTTGAGACCGTAAATGGCTTTCTCCAATTTCCACACATGAGTTGGTTTTGTCGAATCTACCAGGAGGCTGATGCATATATACTGTTTCATCCAGTTGGCCATGTAGGAAAGTGTTTTTGACGTCTAGATGATGTATCTCCCAATCATTTTGCAGAGCAAGATGAAGAACATAGCGGATTGTCACTGGCTTTACCACTGGACTGAGGGTCTCGTCGTAATCGAAGCCTGCTTCTTGTGACTTTCCGTTGGCGACAAGGCGTGACTTGTGACGACGTATTGTTCCATCTGGTCCTGTCTTATGTTTATAAAGCCACATTGAACGAACAATATTAGCATCAGAAGGCCTAGGTACTAGACTAAACGTCTTATTCTTAACCATAGCACCGTACTCATCAATCATTGAAGGATTCCAATTCGGATCAGAAAGAGCATGAAGATGGCTTTTTGGTAAAGGAGAGATTGTGGAAGCATGAAGAGACAAGATGGCTTTTTGTTTTCTAGTTCCATCTCTGCTCCTAGTAGTCACTGGATGACGAGTATGACTGACTGGTACAGATGGTGCGACAATGGGGAGAGTTGAAGCTGGTGGAGCCGACGTGGAATTTGGTTGCGTCGGTTGAAAGGGTGTTTCCAAAAAAAATTTGAACGTAGCAGAAGGTCGTGATCGAGCTGGAGAGCCCGTGCTTCCTTGTTGCTTCAGAATTGGTTTTCTATGCGCAGCCAAATGTCTCTGGCGGTGCCTCCTGCTTTAAACACGCTTCGAAACAGTTGCTGCTCAAGAGTTCCGTAGATCCATAGCTTCACTAAACCATCACGTTTCTGCCATGGAGTGTCATCATCATTCGCAGGAACATAGGTGCCGTCGAGATGTCCTAAGACGTCGAAGGCAAGGCAGTGAGTGAGAAGTAATTCTCTCCAAGCGTCGCAATTGTGTTCTTGGTAGTCAAGAGTAACTGGGATGTGGTGTTTGATATTTGTAACCCCGAAAGCACGTTCAACGGGGTTTTGAGCAGCCATTTAGTAGAGAAAGGAAAGATTTTGAGAGAAAAAAGAAAATTTTCGAGAAGAGAAGAGGGGGAAGAGAAAGGTCTCAGAAGTTTTTAAGATCTGATACCATGAAATAAACTGTATTCCCTTGCCTTCTCATTGATCTCTTTACAACATATAAATACACAGAGTTTGGTAAACTTGTTACGCTTTACATGGGATTGTTATCTAAGGAGATATCTAGTCCTAGAATATAGGATAATATTTGGCATATTCTAATAGCAGGAAGTGATATCAATGGGCAGTGAAGATGAATCAATAGAGCAGAAGTCTGCTGCTCGTAAAGAGGCGCTTAAAGCTTTAAGGATGGCTCAGGAACTTTCTGAGAGTAAGGAAGATGGAGATGGTGATGCTGCTGTTGAATAAGAGTGAGTATGCTTTGTTCTTTGCTTATTTTATTGATCTAGATCTCTATCTACAGTCATGATTCATAGAAAAAAAAACAAAATTGTCAAGATATTTAGGGAAGGAACGATTTGAGTAGCGTTTGATTGATGTGTGTTGGCTAAATCAAAAGCAGGAGCTTCTCTAATGCTTTGGTTTTAACCTCTCCGTTATACAATGCCCATAACCAAAACAGTGGTTTCGTTTTTTAACTTGCATTATAGAGATTTGTGGAAGAACTATCTATTGCACTAACATTGACAAGAAGGTGACTTGTTTCTCTTTACACATTAGCTTAATTGCACTAACACAAAGTCATGCTTAATCACAGTCCTTTGTCTGTTTCTCTTCCCAAGATATGTATTCACTAGTTCAACTTCCAATTTTAATTTCTCCAGAGAAATTACTGAGAATCTGATTTGTTTTTTTTGTTGCCAACTTTCTGTCTACACCACGTCCTCAATAACAACGTCCTTACAATTACCATGCCTAAGGAGAAGCTAGAGGAGAAAAGGTTGTTGGAAGAATCAAGAAGGAAAGAGAAGGAAGTAGAGGATGAGAAGACTGAGAAGCTTTGGAAGAGAAAGATGGAATACTTAGGAAGCTGTAAGAAGAAGCTAAAGCAAAAGAGATAGCTGAGGCAAGGACACTGCAAGAAGAAGCTTCCTCTCTTCTTTTGTTAGGATCAATGGTTGTTGTGTGGAAGAGAAGATGAACACAACTTTTATAGGAGATGGCCACGACTTGTGCTGACCCAGAACACAATGTTAATAAGTAACATTTGTAATACAGTTTGATTAATGCCAATAGAACATGTTTTTGATTAGTTGTAGTGACTTGTGTTTATGCCAATATTTTTTTTAAACACCCCTAATATGATACTTGCATTGGAGGAGTTTAATTAGAAGTTGTTTAAGAAAAGTGCTTGACATCCATTCATTGTTAAAAAATGATTAAACACCTCGTTAGGGGTGCTTTGGTTGATGGTGCTCTAAAACACAACAAAATCTATGCATCGGTTATGTTTGAAAACCTGTACAACTGTTTTTTCCACTGTATTTGGAGAATAAAACACAATAAAATCTATGCATCGGTTATGTTTGAAAAAAAATTAGAATCGTCTTTCAAGTCCTAGAAGTAGAACGTAACATATTGATGCAAAAAAAAATTGAGCACTCAGCAATATTTATGGTTCCCAAAGATTGAGTATACTACAAGTTAAGAAGATAAATGACAACCAAAGACATGTATGAATATTTGCATTATAAGATCACCAAAGTTGCTGTGCCTAGAATCCCACCGGCCGTGTATATAAACCCACGGTATCCACCTACAGTTTCACTCAATTCATGCATGCATAAAAAAGTAATAAGGAGCAAAAAGAACAATGTTTTACAATTCTGATCAATGTTTTGGATGCAAAAATGTGTGGCTACTTAATCAGTGAACAAGTGAGCCATATTTGCAAACAAGGTAGCTCAAAACTGCCACCAGTTGCACCCTTCGTTGCTTATATCCCCATTTGCTCTCGTCACTAAGAAAAAGAAAGAGTATAGTTTGAGAAATAATAAGAGCTAATATAGTGCTCGGTTCCTTTTGCATTAACATGTTACCAGTTTGGATATTAATCAGAGTTTTTAATTTGATTCAAAGTTCTAGATCTCTATTAATTTACTTAATCAACGAATTTAGCAAATGAGATTTTGAATATAATAAAAATAAGAATACTCTCATTAGGCATTTCAAAGCAAAAAAAAAAAAGCACAATTGTATAAAATAGAGTTCCAGCATCAAACCATAACAGCTAGAGATTTATCAAGTAGAAGTCTCCCAGTCACAAGATGCTCACGCCACTCAACTTGACCCCAAATCTCCCCTCCTTGTCGCCTTTCCAGCGAAATACCCGCACACCAAACCTCACTTGTGTTTCCTTTACCAAAAAACAAAAGCAGTTTTCCATTGTAAGTCACAATGTTCGACCATTCTGAACATCTCGTCACGGCCAACAATTCTTCCAAACCATCTACCACTCTCCAACACCTCCGGTTCGGATCATACCTACTTATCTTTTCCTCAGAACAATCATAATAGTGCAATACATCATCGAGCACACACGCATTCTGCCAGTTGTTAATATTCAGAATCTCGTCCCTTTCCAATTTATTTTCCTTTGGATCGTAAACAAAGCTATTATGAGAATCACTCATGTAAATCTTATCCCCCATGACCACCACACAATAACACCGGTGACTCAGATTTTCAAGACAAAGCTGCCACACTTGTGTTTCTGTACTGAATACAAAAATCACCGTTGTGTAGTCCTGAAAGTGCCTTCCAATTACATATATTTTGCCATCTATGATGTCAGCGTATGTATTTACCACGCGTATAGGAATGCTCGGGAGAGTTTGAACCATGTGAGATCTACAGTCAATCCTTAACACCTTAGTTGTCATGTTGTCAGAGTCAATCCCACCAAACACATATATACTTGAGCCCAACGCGACAAAGCTTCCAAAGAAAGGCATAGCGGATAACGAAGGGATAAGGACCAAGCTGCGAATACCATTAGAATTCTTGCGGAGAATATACCAACGTCGTTTATGGGTTTCTTCGTTATGGAGGAGAACATAAAGACAGTTCTCCTTGCAGCCTAACAAGGAACGTCTCGCGTATATCTCAGGTGAAGCAACAAGTGACCGGAAGTGTTTGGAAACAAGGGAAAGTTTTGGATAGTACCATCTTGGTACATGCGCTACTATGTCATCGATGATGTCTTGGGGAAGTGATGGAAGCACACACGGTGGTTGTTCCAAGGATCGCTTCTTAGCTTTGGAAGACATCAACAATCAATCACCCAATCTTTATGAGAAGAGCCCAAAACCCTAATATGTGCCTGCGAACAAAGAACGTTAAATTGTAAATCTTTATAATATTATTTGAGAAGTCAGTTTACTACATGTCGCGCTCACGTTAACTTTTGCGATGGTTGATTACATAGATACCCTTAATAAATCGTTAGATTTAAAAGATTATTATTAATTTTTTATTTAGTTTCTTTTTACCTTTTTCCTAATAACATATATGATAAAAAGGAAATATTTGTATATATCTATACTATTATTTGCGAAGTGATTGTTGTCAACGGAGCTCTCACGTTAAAAGTTAGAGTGGCTAATATCGTTTATACCCTTAATGAATAAAAGATATAAATTCACAAAAAATAAAACGAATTATATATTTATTTGATTAGATAAATGATTTAAATATTTATTAATGATAAGAATTATCCATAATTAGTGGCTAATATCGTTTATACCCTTAATGAATAAAAGATATAAATTCACAAAAAATAAAACGAATTATATATTTATTTGATTAGATAAATGATTTAAATATTTATTAATGATAAGAATTATCCATAATTTTAATATATATTTAAAAATAAAAATATAATTCCTATATATATTATGTTGTTATCCGGAAAATATATTTTAATAAAAGAAATTCAAAAACAGAAAACACATAAGTAAATATTCATAAAGTAAAATTTTTAATTGTATAGATTTTTATTTTTTATATCAATTAAGAAAAATGAAATAGACTTTATATTTTCAAAGTTTTAAAGATAAAAATAGATTTTTTTTTTAATTTGTGAATAACTTTATCATGTGAAAAAGTTAAATGTTTTAAGTCAAAATTTTTTGATGCAAATAATCATTTATTTTGATGATTTTTAATTGATTAATGAAAATTAAGCCCGCACGTGCGGGCAAAACACCTAGTATGACTTTATTAAGGAAAATTCACAAAATAGTAATACCTCCATTAATATATAGTTTTAAATAACATAAAATATATTTTCAAAATAATAAAAATATATATGTTCATGAACATCCAAAAATTTGTCAGATTTAAAAGATTATTATTAATTTTTTATTTAGTTTCTTCTTACCTTTTTCCTAATAACATATATGATAAAAAGGAAATATTTGTATATAATATGAATTTATTAAGGAAAGTTCACAAAATAGTAATACCCCTATTAATATATAGTTTTAAATAACATAAAATATATTTTCAAAATAATAAAAATATATATGTTCATGAACATCCAAAAATTTGTCACTTACTCTTTATTTTTTAATATTTTTTAGAAATCAACATATAATTTGATAAATATTATGTAAATACATGTATATTTAAGCGATAAAGAAAATTAATTTAGTTTGACTTAACTAAANATTAATATATAGTTTTAAATAACATAAAATATATTTTCAAAATAATAAAAATATATATGTTCATGAACATCCAAAAATTTGTCACTTACTCTTTATTTTTTAATATTTTTTAGAAATCAACATATAATTTGATAAATATTATGTAAATACATGTATATTTAAGCGATAAAGAAAATTAATTTAGTTTGACTTAACTAAAATAAAAAGTATTCATACTTCAATTTTAATTTAAAATATATTTAACTCAATATACTCACAACATGTATGACTCGGCTAATTTAATTTATATCCAAATTAAACATCTAACTACAATAAGAACATATAATTTTATAATAATAATATTAATCTATTTAATTTTATACATATAAATTACAGGTTGACTCAAATCATATTAAAAAAAAGAAAATATAACCAATTACAATTTAATTCTTTTGTAGAATTTTTATATATGCATGAGATTTCAAAATATTATCATTATATGAATTTATGTAATTTTGAATCAAACGCTCCAGCTTATTATTTATTTCTTTTTAAACATAATATATATTAAGCTATACACAATTTAACTGACAATAACCAAACAAAATGAAAAAAGCAAATTAGTCAAAATTTTATTATATTTAAAATAAAAAAGAAAAATAGATAGTATCCAATTACTAAATTGATGACAAATCGACTACTGATCCAAAAAAAATTAAACCGACAATAATATATCCAAAGTCATATGGATAATTAGAATAATATAATATTTATTAATATAAATTATACATATAGATGATTTAAAACTAAAACTAAATACCAATTAATTATTATAATATTTTAATTTTATGAATATCCATACCCGTGCATGAGCACGGGAAAATCACCTAGTNTCGACTACTGATCCAAAAAAAATTAAACCGACAATAATATATCCAAAGTCATATGGATAATTAGAATAATATAATATTTATTAATATAAATTATACATATAGATGATTTAAAACTAAAACTAAATACCAATTAATTATTATAATATTTTAATTTTATGAATATCCATACCCGTGCATGAGCACGGGAAAATCACCTAGTAGTTCTAATTAGTAGAAACGAAAAATAGAAGTAAAACAAAGGTAGGATTTAGGCATGGGCATCCGGGTCCTCGGGTCGGGTTCGGATCGGGTCCGGGTCTTTCGGGTCTTGGAAATTTAGACCCATATGGGTACTTATGATTTTTCGGGTTGGTTCCGGATCGGGTGTTGCCGGGTCAGGGTCGGTTTTGGTCTATAATTCTAATACCTGTAAAATAGCCGTAATTTTCGGATCCATATCTGGTCCGGATCGGGTCCAGGTATTTAGAATCTAAAAAATACATAACATGCCCAAACTCATTCAAATTCAGTCAATATTTTTCATATATATATCTAAAATTTTATAAAATAAATTAAATTAAATTATTAATAATTGAAGAAAACATTTTTAAACTCTAAATTTTGCATTTTAAAACTTTATATTACTTAAAAATGTTACAAATAATAAAAAATATTTTTAACAAAAGATATTTCAACTAAATTATAAAATAGTATAGATATATAAAACATAACATAAAATAATAGTTTTGGATATACCTGTTTATAGGTCGGGTACAAATCGGTTCTTATCGGGTCGGGTATATTCGGATCGGGTCTATTCGGATCGGTTCTTTTCGGGTCCGGGTCTATATGGGTAAAAGAAATTTAGACTCAATAGATACTTGTAAATTTTCGGGTCGGGTTCAGGTCGGATATTTTCAGGTCGGTTTCGGGTAAAATGCCGAGGCATAGTAGGATTCCATTAAACTTAATATTTGATCGATATTTTACTGTAAATCTAAGGGTGAGAATAACATCGAACCAACCGACCAAAAGTAAACCAGAAAAAAAGTTGTAATTGAGCAATAATATTGAGTGATTGACCGATACAATACGAGAAATTAATCTAACAACTGGATTTTGACCCGCGCAACCGCGTGGGTATTATTTTTGTTTATAGTTAGTTATATAAACATTTTTTTCACTTGTAAATTGGTATATATTATAGTAATCACATATTTATGATATGTATAGTAAATATTTTTCAAACATAGTAATATTATATAATATGTGTTTTAATCAAATTGATTGTTTCAAATTTTCTATATTATACATGTTTTTCAAACATGTGTTTGTTTCTTCTTCTATATTTTATTTTTTGTTAGATTAGTATTTCATTTTTAGATAAAGTAATATAAATAGAGCTTGATTAAGTATTAGTATACTTTAATTTGCAAAGAGAATACAAACTTCGAAGAATTTTTTTCTAAAAACTAAACTTATAACTTTATAAATTAATATTATAAATAATTTTATTAAAAATAATTTTTAACAATTTTTTTAAAACAATATAATTTTAAAAATTTACGTTGAAAGAAATTTATCTAGTATATATAGCATGTATATTTTGTTAGGGTATATAAATATTCCATATTACGAATCTGTGGTTTTTGTTAATATATTGTGGATGCATTTAACTATTATTGACATATTTCCTTATAAATAATAAAAGATTCCTAAAATTCTATTGACATATTTTGCGTGACTAAGTTGGAAGGTGTGTGGTAATTTACCAAAATCAAATTGTTAAGCGTATTTTTATTATTATAGATATGATTTTTCATAAGATATAATAATGATAAGATTATTAGAAAGTTAATGGAATATGACTTTCTAGTAATTAATCAAATTCGATACAAGGCTCTCGTATTGATGACATAATCGAATCAATGACTTTAGAGAAAACTCTAATTTATTATCTTCCAAAAACTGAATGTTAAAAGTCAACTATCAATCCTTTATATAGGACTTAAAAATGGTTTACAATAACCTAAGACTCTTTAAAATAGAAAATCTAAATAAAGGAAATCATACTTAGGAAAAGGAAATCTAATAAAAACCAAAAATAGAAGGGTTGCTTGGCGGAAAAGATATCATGATGCTGCATCAATATGTATACTATTTAAATTTTTGATGTCTTAAATTTTAAATTTAGATAGTTCTTTTAAAAATATAACTAGATGTTCTTAATTAAATTCTTTATAAATTTTATACACAAAGCACTTTTTTGTTAACTTTCTTATTTTTTGAAATGTTTGATTATCTTTGGACATTATAAAATATTAATATTTTCCAATTTTTATTTCATTCTGCAAATTCAATAGTGAAATACTTATCCAACAAACAAAAAAATATATATGTGAACAAACAAGTACATGTGAAATTTGAAACAATCTATTTGCTAGAGAATAAATATACTCTAATTTTTATGTTTGAACAACCTTAAATATACTCTATAATATACATCTATGAAGCTAAAAGTTTAATTTTATAAAAACATTTAAATTCTTGAAATATTATAATGTCTTTAGAGGTGACAATAAAATAATATTTTAACAATCGTTATATATAATTACGAGCTAAAAATTAAAAATAAGAATACAAAATAATATATATATATATATATATATATACAAGAAAATACAAATACATGAAAATTTGAAATAATCTATTCAAAAAAAATTGCCGGTAAAACTATTATGTTTTAAAAAGTGATAGACATGTACACCTGATATATATTATAATATATATCAATATAGAATTGAAAACAAAATATTTATTTAGAAAATAGAAACAAACACCTGCATAGTTGAGCGGAGCGAAATTTAGTATAATTTTAAAAAGTAAAAACTAAAGTTTAGTTATAATAGAAATAAGATAGATGTTAAAAGAGTTTCTCTAACATTGTTTTAGTCCCTTCTATTTTTTTCCCTTCTCTCATATTTTTCCTTTTCTCATTATTTATACGTTAAGAAACAGAGGTCTCCCATCTATTTTCTCCTTCTCTCATACTTTTTCCCTTTCTCGTTATTTCTCTTTCTCTTTATTCATTTTTGTTTTACACCACACCAATTCAACATTTCAAACTTCCTCGTTACTCATCTAGATTCTCACAAGACACAACTAAACACTTTCCAAATCCTTAAAACTCCAAATGTAGTGTTTACGTTTTGGCCCCCTTTGCTATACAACTATGGTATTTTCAAGCTGAATATAACTCAACATAAGCCAAAACATAGAAAAGCTCCAGAATCTCTATAATGTGCTTGCATGAACATGATTGTCAAGAAACGCCTTAGCCAAGTTACTAAAGCTTACACTGACGGTCTCAGCTGCTGCATACCTCTCGATGAGATCCAGCACTTCTGCTCTCAGAATCATCTCTCTTGTTGCTCTGTTATAGTCACAAATGTAATACAAAGCCCCCAGTGCGTAAATTACCTATTAGGAAACAAAACAGGTTTTTTAGTTTCGTTTTTAAAACATTTAATGAGGCGAGAAACATTGTGTACTCACAGTATTTCGGATAGGGCTTGATAAACATTTGATTATAAGAGGAATTCCATCAGCCTCAACAATGGTAGCAGTGTTCTTTGGCTCTGTGGGAAGAACAATAAAAAGCATGCGTTTGAAGAATCAGCAATTATAAGAATAAAAACAATAGAGTATATTCGCATATAAAATGCTCTTTGTTTTACCAGCACAAGCGTTGCATATTCCTCCTATCCCGAATTCTACAAGCTTCTCATTTGGCTCTGCTATGCAGTCTATGAATAGTTCCAAGACGTTTAGCTGCTCGAGTACACAATAAAAATATTTTGATCGTAGCAAGAGCGAAGTGGGGGTCAAATTTAGGTTTTCTATGATTTAGAAAAAAAAAAGAACCGACTTGAGGTTACCTGACGTAAGATGGTGTAGTTGTAAGGGTCATAGGAAAAGTTCGCCAAGTTTGCTACAGTTCTCTCTTTAGTTTCTGCAGGTGCAAGACAGTATTATATCAATGCTCGACTTAACTGTCTAAGAGACAAAACCAGAAATATAATAGCTTGGGCTTTGCTAAATTATAGCCTAGCAGAATCATCTGAAAGTGATCTCATATTCCATATGAAGCCAAACACAGTCCTTAAAATCATACTGCAATCCAGCAACTTGTGTACTCTTCACTCAAGTTACAAGAAGCATGAGCAGATACTTAAGACTAAAGTAGTCATACGTTCATCAGTTGCATTCTGAAACTGACTCACAAGCTCCTGCAATAAAAAGAGGAAAAACTCAGCTCCAAAAACAACTCTTCCCACAACGAAGAATCTCACAGACATAAACGAAGCAGACCCAAGTTGTACACACAAAAGAAAAACTCAGCTTTTCCCTGTTGTTTTGTTTTGTAGGCTCAATCTCCACGATGAAACATTGATGCATATGTTGAGTAATTCCAAGCTTGTGGAAACTTAACATATTATTGGATGTTTAATATGTTAAGGATAAACACAATAAGGAAATCTAGAAATAGGAAAAGTAAGTTTTCTATTAGATTAGGTTTGTGTTTTCCATATCTCACATGTTCAAGGGAATTATCTTGCATATAAATAGAGATCTATGGAGAGGTGTTCCATAAGATCTAAGAGAGTAGATCATATGATCTA